ACCTCAGTGCGCAGGAAGGATGAACGGCGCAAGGAGAAAAGGGAGCTGCGGCAGGAGAGGAAGAAGAAGGTGAGAGCCTGGATTCCTGAGTTCTCTCATGGATCTGGGGTGGAGGACCAGACTATGGTGTTTAGTGGGGGGTTTAGGAGACCCAGATGCCTGGGTTCTTTGGTGGGGAATGGGGTCTTTGGGTGCAGAGCAGGGGTGGGACCTGGGACACCTGGATTCTCTGCTGTGCAGGGCTGCAGGTGCAGATGCCTGGGTTTTCTTCTGCTCTGGGAGGAGAACAACGGGGGCTTTGGGGGTTAGAGCAGGGGTGGGGGGTTGAGAGCCCAGATGCCTGGGTTCTTTCACAGCTCTGGGAAGGAAGTGGGGGTTTAGGGGGTCATGAGATCCAAGTGGGGGTTTAGGGGGAAGGTGAGCCCAGATGCCTGGGTTCTTTCAGAGTCGGGGTGGAGGCTGCTGGATGAGATCGGGGGGTTTGGGAGCCCAGACACCTGGATTGTTGGACAGGGATATTGTCCAATGGGATGAAGCAGGAACTGGCAGCTAGGTCTCGGGCCACCTGGGACCTGTAGTCAGCTCTGGGTGGGCCTGTGGGGTGGGGGGAAGAGCTGGCAGGTGCAGTCGGTGACGATGTTCATGTGTCTTCAGGAGCGGGCACAGCGACAGGAGGAGCTCAAGCGCCTGAAGCGGCTGCGGCAGCAGGAGATGGCGGCCCGGCTGGCACAGCTGCAGGAGGCAGCGGGTGGGGCCCCTGTCCCCTTTCATCCTGCCCACCTTGAGGGTGACTTCGACTCTGCCCAGCATGACCAGCTGATGGAGGCCAGTCCCTGGCTCTGGACACCTGAATTCTTTCCCCGGGGGGCTGGTTCTGTCCTGGATGCCTGGGTTTTTTCCTGGTGGGGTGGGGGCTGGGCATCTGGGTTCTGTGGGTTCAAGCAGGGGAGCCCCAGATGCCTGGGTTCTGCCCCTGGGGTTGGTGGGGTGGAGCAGGGGGGACCTGGATACTGCCTGGGTTCTACTCCTGGGGGCGGGGGGCTGGGAGCCTGGATGCCTGGATTGTGCCCCTGGGGCTGGTGGGTTGGAGGAGGCAGCAGGGAGCCCAAATGCCTGGGTTCCCTCCCATGCTAAGCTAAGCTAAGCCTCTCATGCTCCCTTCTTCCCCAGGCGTTCTTTGGGGCAGAGTTCTATGGGGTTGCTGAGGAGAAGCCGCAGTTTGAGGAGGAAGATGGGGTGGATGGTAGGTGCCTAGGGAAATGAGCTTGTGCAACATGGCCTCACGCGATGCATGAAAGAGTGCCTGAGCCCTTGTGCAACACATCCTTGTGTGAGCCCTTGTGCGATGGGATGCCTTGTGTGATGGGAGGGGCTGACCCCATTGCCCTGTGCTAGGGGAACCTCCTCTGATTGACAGGCGCACGCAAATGAGCACTTTGGGTGGGGGGCCCTTCCTGGCCCCTCCCACAAGCTTGGTGCTGTTGTAAGTGGCTGTTGCATTCCAGCCCAGAGCTGGTTGCATCCTGGGGGGGTGCGGTCTGAGGATCCCAGTATAGCCAGTACCACAGACCTGGCTTTGTCCTCTCTCTGCAGATGCCTGGAACTGGGATGACTGGGCTGGTGTGGTGGGGAGCAAGGGGCCAGGAGGAGGCAGCAGCGAGCCCCACTGCGAGGACCCCAACTTCAATGTATGTCCCTGGGAGCCCAGACACCTGGGTTCTTTGGGAGGGGATGGGGGGGTGAGAGCAGGGGGGTTGGTAGCCTGGATGCCTGGGTTTTTGTGAGGGGTAGGTGATGAGAGTAAAGAGTCTGGGGATGCCTGGGTCTTCTTTCTGGGTCCAGTGCTTTGGAGCCCATATGCTTGGGTTTTCCCAGTCCCAAGATTAGAGCAGGGAGTGATGGTGCTTTTGGCCCCCCCACCCCCAGATGGATGCTGACTATGACCCCTGCACAGCCACCCCCACCCCGCACTTGCAGCAGCCTCCACTAATGGGCAAGCAAAGAAGGAAGAGCCGATTGGCCAAGGCTCTGGAGCGGGACAAGCCGACCTTTGACCCCAGTAAGCTCCCTCCCCCAGCCCTGAGGCCTGGGACCCATCCTCTGCCAGGGGACAGAATGGGAGCCCAGATGCCTGGGTTTTCTTCAGCTCTGGGAGGGGGTGCAGGGTCCAGTGATTGGAGCAGGAGGCCCTGGGAGCCCGAAAGCCTGGGTTCTATCCTGGCTCTGGGTGGGGAGTGGGTTAATGGGTAAGAGCAGGGGACCTGGAAGCCTGGATGCTTGTGTTGTCTGGAAAGGGGGTGGAGGCTGGTTTAAGAGCAGCCTGGACACCTAGGTTTCATCCCCAGTGTGGGGTGGGGGCTGGGAGCCTGGCTTCTTGGGTCCCCTCCTTGGCAGGCACCATGGGGATGGGGGTTTGTGCTGACTCTTCTCCTGCCCCCAGGGGCTGGCACCTTCGAGCAGTATCTGGACGAGTATTACAGGCTGGACTATGAGGACTTGATCGGGGACCTGCCCTGTCGCTTCAAGTACCGCAGTGTTATGCCCTGCGATTTCGGCCTCACCACTGAGGAGGTATGCTCAATGTCTGAGTTCTTTCCAGCTCTGGGAGGGGAAGGGGCTGGGGGTCCTGGGAGCCTGGGTTTTTTTTCCTACCCTGGGGGGTAGGGTTGGGGGAGGGCAAGGGGCTAGAGGCCTGGATTCTCTTCTGGTTTAGGGTAGGGTCTAGAGTGGGGGCAGCCAGGAACCCGGACACCTGGGTTCTTCCTCTGCTCAGGAAGGGGAGAGCAGGGTGGGGAGTGGGAGCCTGGATGCCTGGGGTCTCCCCTAGCTCTAGGAGGGGAAGCAGGTCTTTGGGAGTTGAGAACCTGGACACCTGGGTTCCCTCTTGGGTTGGGGCGGGGTCTGGGTGATGAGACATGGGGCAGCTGGGAGCCTGCCCTCCCATGAGCCTGGGAGGGGAAGGGGAGGCAGGTGCAGGATGCCTAGGTTGTATCCCAGCTCTGGGAAGGGTGTTGAGGGTGGGTACCACTGCTTTGTGCTCATGGCTGGACACC